TTAAAACCAAAACTTCTCTTCATAACATTCCTTTTGGTGTATTTCTCAAGTTACTTTTCCAACATTCTCCCTCTGATCCTTTATTGCCAGAGGATGCCAAAATCAAAAATGACCATGATCAACTGTGATTTCACAGAGAAAATATTGCCTTTTGTATCACTGAATTTAACATGATTAACTGTATCCTCTTGTTAAGTGTTATTTAAGTCTTATTTTCTTCAGTTACTTTCTCTTCTCTTTAACAGACAACTTCCCTACTTCTAACCCTCTGTATTTCTGCCAATCCTAATTCTTTAAACTTTTTTTGATCTATTCTACATCAGATTCTATCATCTATTTTTAATTCCAATACATGTTTCTTTGTCTTATTTTTTATACTTCCTAATGTTTTTGTCTTAGTGACAAGAAACTAACACGTAGTCACAGTCTTCACCCAACTAGTCTTTAAAAAAGCTGATTTTTGCTTGGCATGATGAAGTCACACAGAACTTAAGTACACTCCTAGTCAGGTTTTTCCCAAAGCAGATGAACTTCGTTTGTCATCTACTGTCCCTTTCCTTAAGTTAAGGTTTAGAAACACAAGTTCTGTTTCTCTGATTTTGAAGACTAGGGCCTCCAACTCAGCCTAGCTGGAAATAGCCTAAATAGAGTTCCTATTGCTGGCAGTACATAGGCCAAGGAATCTCAACTCTAAAAAGGACACACAGCCTATATAGTTTAACTGCAAGTTTTACCAGTTACAATTAAAAAAAAACAGCTAAGGATGTGGGAGACAAGTTAAAATCAGTACTTTTCTGAAAAGAAGTCCAAGAATGTTTACAGTTTCATCCACAGATTCAAATGGAAAAGGTGTGAAATGTATTTCACTGGGAAAAATCTGACTGGGCAAGCTTACGTATCTCATCTCATTTGGATCTAGGGGGATATTTAAGATACTTGCTTTATTTTAAGTTGTCATAGCTGTTCAATAGATTAAACTCAAATACACTTAAGTAAATGTCTGAACAGGAAAGGAAAGGGGCCATCTGTTTTCTAATTATTTTAGTCATTCATACTAAAATAATTTCAAGATTATTAGGAATTACACAATTATTTGGAAAGAGTCGAGTTTTGCAACTAACTTGTCAAGACTGAAAAAAGGAAAGAAGCAAATATGAAGCAAGATTCACTACATCTTCGTTAGTATATCTCCTGATGATCTCTGGAAATTCTGCACACGCAGAACTATCAGAAACAGATACAGTGCAAGGTGCTGAACCCATAAAGAGAAAATTAGGTCCTCTTTGGAACATTTTACTAGGCAATGTAGCAAAAAAAAGCTATCCACATCTTTTTGCCTTAGCTGTGATTAGAGTAGATTTTCTGTAGAAAATAAAAGTACATCTTGTCTTTAAGCTTCACAGTAAGACAGCCAAACAAGGAACAGCGCACTTCAGAAAATGGCTGGTCCATTGCTAAGAAGGACTTGTTAAACTTGGGGTTTTTCACCACTGGAAAACAAGTGAAAAGCCCAAAACTAAACCAAAAGTAGTCCAGCGTCACCAATTACCTTATTTAAAGACAGTACAGTTTCTTAATCTTCTTTATGCCTCAGTAAGCCTTACAAGTGTGAAGGCAGATGTAAACACAGTTGATAGTCTTCAGCTTTTAAAGCTATTTCAGTGTATGGAGTGACCAGAACTCATCACACTTCTTTACAAATTAGCCAGCTGTTCAAACAACTAAACTAAATCCTGTTGCTAGGAGAACAGCACCAGGCAGTGAAGACTTGAACAAACACTGTGTTTTGAAACAAACCTTAATTCATCCTCACAGCAGCAAGCAGATAAGAATCTGGTAGTCTAAATGAATACCAACAGCAAAGACAAATTATGGGATCTGCAAACAACTCTGTGCAAGAACTCAACTCTAATGAAGCGCAAAGGTGTTTCTAAATCAAAATCAATTAATAGAATATAGGCCAATACTCGTATGAATAGCAAATGGTGTAAAGTCACAGAAAGCACTGCAACCTTGGGCTATTCTACTACTTGTAGAGTCTATGCAGTATCAGAAATTAACTGGCAAGGAAACTACATTCCATCATGCTGAATCAAACAGAGACAAGCTAAATTTTATGAGGTTAGCCTGACCTCACATTCCTCAATTGTAAAATAAGTTACTAGGGAGGTGGTGACCCTTACCAAGCCAGCCAGCGCCAGGATCAAACAGGACAATACACTGTGTATCTATTCAAGCTTACTCTTAGAAACCTGGGCCCCTCAACTATAAATCAAGCAAAGGCTTTATAAGTCTAACAGAATTACACAAGTCTTCAGATATTTGCTTCGCTGCACAATTAATCTTGCAGTTCTCTACAAGTACCAATTAAAACCCAAAAATAAAGCTGTTTCTGCACATAAGAGCAGAGAGAATTTTTAGGATACAAAATAAACTGATAAACTAGGACATCCAAGTAGCCATCCCATTACACAATTATAGCTCAATTCCATTTTAAATTAAGGCTGCAATCAAATAACTGCCCCCCCTTAAAAAAGTTATAGATCCTCAGAAAACAAAGAGTGGTTCTGCGCTTGCAATTACTTTGATTTAACACTTCAAATATGTTTATCCACCTTAAAGGTCACTCAGCTTTGCAGCAGGCCTCTTGATTTCATCTGCGAAAATAGCTAATCACTGCATCACTTAATCTTAATCACTTTTTGGTGGAAAGAGTTGAACACATCAAACAGGTTGATGCAAATCATCCTCATAAGAATTTTTTCATTTTCTGATTAACTAGCAACATAGTCCCCACTCTGAAAATTCACCTCCGCTGTGTAATCCAGCCATGGATAGCCCTGTAGCTCCTGCCTCACATCCACGTTTTTCATAATAACGTAACAATCAAATCAGAAAAAATGAACAGACTATATAGACAGGTTTTTAAGATCAAATCAAGTATGAAGTACAATTTGGCTTCAATACAAGTATGAGACTATGGCAGTGGATCAAAGACACCTAAGAGCAAAGAGAGTTAGAATTCAATGGACATTTTTCAACAGAAAGCATACCACAATCTCCCATAAAGTTTTAAGAGATTCTTCAAGCTACCTTGTTCATGCTAGACAGGAGAAAAATTTAACTTCACACTCTAACTGCAGTCTAGGGCTGAAAAAGCTGTCGCAGTAACAGCAAATGAATAAGTCACAACTTCAGTATTCCCCATGACATTAAAGGTCAGGTTTAGGACCAAAGCAATGGTTCTGCATCCCCTAGGCACCTCCTACCTCTGTAAAAATGATTCAGTAAGAAATAAAAGAATGCTGAGACTACAAACCCTTGGCTGTACCTAAGACAGCATTCACACTAAGAATGCACAGTGGTTCTTCCAATGGGACAACACAGCTCATTTACTACTGCAGATGTCCTTATATCAAGGGAATTCCCTCATGATACCCACTAATTCTCCAACATCTTAAGTCTGCAAAAAGGAATTGCAGTGAAAAACCCTACCAAGGCCCTTAAGTAGTACATGTGCTTTGTGTTTGTCTTCTGCAGTTTTCCTTCAAACTGCTTATCCAAAAATCTTACCTAAACACCTAAGTAGGTAATAAAGAATCTCATCGCTTTTCTCTTTGAGCAGCTGTGGCATTTTAATCTCCAGATTAAACAAATTTATTATTTCCAAATGCGGGCTTATAGTCACCCCTACTGTACAGATGGCTCTGTTCACTTGTAAATCTGATTACTTTGGATAAGTCAGAACCCAGACTACATGGTCTTTGTTCTTTGTAACGACACACACTGAGTTGTGCACTGAAATCCTGCTTTGGTTTGTAAAGCCGACTGGTTTTTGTTCAGTTCTAAGATGTGTAAAAGTTTGCTCTTGAGGAACCAGAGTCTACAGAGTAAAATTTGCTGTAACTTGTATACAAGTAAAGGTACTTGAGAAACTTGTATTTCTGTAATTTAAGACTAGAAAACACACAATGGCCTGCTTTGTCTTTTCCTTACGTGCACTCTCAAAAATTAAAAGGAAGCATTAACAAAACTTAAAAGCTCTTCATAAGTACTTTTAACATATAAACACCGTGAATTGAAGTTCCATATCTAAAAGGAACTAATACAGACAGCCTACCTGACGGCTTCCATAACCGAAGGGAGCACTTGACAAGTTGGTGGTAACGCTGTGTAGGATAATTTCACCACTCAAAGATCCAGAAGCAATGTAGCAATCGTTCCAATTATATGTAATGCACGTGACTTCATCTTTATGATCCTGTGGGGGAGGAAGGTCAGAAGAAGAGGGTTAAAGACACTCAGGATAACCACATTCCTTCTTAATCCGCACTTTTGCAGAAAAAACGCAGCTTGATATTTTTTTTCCTGACTATCTGTAACATTTAAAAAGGTTATTTAAGAGCTGTTATGAAATATCTCAGAAAACAGCAGCAGAACATTCTGAAGTTCAGCCATTATTTTTTAACCACTTTCTGGTTGTTTTCAGAAGGTTGTTTTAAAAAATCAGTAAAGATGATGCTGTGACTATATACGATTTCTCAATAAGACAATCATGGAGATATCTACCACAGGTGTCATTAATAGTATTTTAAAAGTAAAGTCTTCCAGAAATCAGTGATATTTGAATACACTTTTTGTTAAACTGATGTACTACTGCCAGCTTCCCCTTCTGTTACTTTTAGTATTAACACACATTTAAAAAACAGCTTTTCAGTATAGTCATTTGCAATTATGATATTGTGTTTACTGAATATATAAGGGAAGACAATCCAGTACTTCTACCCCAAAAAGGAGAAAATTATATTTAAAGTATTGTATTAGCTAGTTAGTAGGTTTGTTTCAAACTGTAACTTTAAAAGTCCAGGAAAAAAGATTATGTCAAAGCCAAAATTCCATAGCCTTTTTAACAGTGGTTCTAAATGAGGGCAAATAATTTACTGAAGCCAGCACGGACACATACCAGACCATTCTAAGTGCTGGGTATCATGACAAGCTTTTAGAGCATTCAGACTGGGTCAGTTAGAAGAAGACAACCATGTCCCAGTTTTGCATAATACGAGTTCTACTACAGTATTCTACAAAGTGTTTTCTTGTTTGATGTATCAGAAACGGCAATTATGTGAAATACTGCCTTTGGAAAAAACCCCGTCAGAGAATATCAATATGAATTCACAAAATCAGAAGGCTATTCTGAAAATTTAAACATATATTATTATAGAATTGTACTTTGAAGACATGCTTGTTAAATCTGCTAGTTACAGCACATAAAGAACACAAACTTGAACAAGACACACACGTGTGCCAGCTGCTATCTGTGAGCTTGATGCCACAGATGTACTTTCTCTAAGTCGCGCATTTCCTGCAGTTGGTGGCAAAACCTGGAAGTCACAAAAGCGACGGTTCTTCCTCAGCCAAACTTACCTTAAGGCTACGGTAAACCTTTCTGGATTTCAGGTCCCAGATATTAACTGTGCTATCAAGGCCTCCACTCACAAGATGTGAAGAACTAGAATTCAAGCTCACACACGTCTGTTTTGCCTGATGGAGAACAGGGAGGGGGAAGGAAAAGTATATTAAAGATAATTACAGGATTTATTCAAATCTACTTAAAAGCATATTGATGTGTGTTTTCATCTTCAATAAAACACACAGTCCCAACAGAACTATTGGTACACTACAGACATTTCCCATCAAAAGGCATTTAAAATCCAGTCCAGGTTGGACATATGTTTGACATACTTTAAGATCCAAACACAATAGTTAATAAATTCTTGAGTGCTTACATTTTCCCATTTCAATTTTTTTTTTAGCACCTTTTCCTTTAATATGCAGTCTCTGTTCAAATTATAGCTCCCTGAAGTGCAATCATAGACTTCCATTCAGGTACTGAGTTTTAAAAAGAAAATGCTAAGTTTAGGGAAAAAAAAACCCCTTAAAAGAAAATCTAGAAGTAGTCTAAGTCACATCCTTCACATTCCCTAAACATTACAAAGAATATTATATCAGCAAACTTGGTAATTCGGTAAAGGGATTCTTTTTAAAATAATCACTGAAGTACCAGCTTTTGAAATAAAAATGTCAATCTTAATGATAGACCTACATCAAGGACAAATTATTATTCAGTTCTATCACATTGAAAATTCACTTTTAAGTTCCTGAGATGTGAATTAAGAAAAAACAACTCCATCTAATTATTGACATGGTAAAATTGGAAATGATTGCATTAGTTATAGATCAGATTTAGTGAAGTCTCCAGGACAAATGCTCCACCTTTGAATGTGTTTGCTTCAGCAACCTAAAAGCCCAGTTTAAACACCTGTTCAGAAAATTTCCAGTGCAAATTAGCATTACAATAGCTATCCAAGAATAATTAGAATGGTTTCTAACAAATCATTCAAGTAACCATGTCAAGACACTCTTTGAAAACTAAATCCAGCTTTTCTAAAGTTTATAGTGCCACACTTCCACTTAACAGGGGAAAAAAATCCTGTATGAAGTTCTCCTGTTTCATGATTTCCAGCAGCCAGCGCATGTACACTCCAAAAACAACCTTTATACAGACTCCGTATGTTTTTCAATGTACAATTCACAGGCATGCATAATACTGACAATTCAAGTTGGAAAATGAAGTTCAAACTTGAGCTCTGTCCCATGACCTACGCATCAGGTGAAGTTTGAACCACTGACTGCCCTGGGCCATCGCACTGAGGTTTGTTTGTTTTTTTTACACACAAGTTCTCCCAGCAGAAAGCTATCAGCAGCAGACGTTAATATAACCACATTTGTATTTTCTTACTGGTAGAGCAATTTTAGAAGCACTATCCCCCCCCACCTCTTTATATGTATTTAACTATACACATGGAAATGGTTTCACATATGTATCATGACTCTAACAATACTAAAATTAAATTGATCCCAGTATGTAGAACAGATGTAATGCAAACAGTACACAAAGTAGAGTGGGGAAAAAAAACAGGGAACAGCATTACTCATACTTACTCCTTCAGCTATTTCAAAAAGTGTAACAGGTTTGCTTTTGCAGCTTGAAACAACAATTTTATCACCAGCAGCAGAAGCAGTAGCCAGGTATCTATCTTAGTCACAAGTTATGGACCATAACTGTATTATAGTGGTGACTTATAAAAGCAACAGCAAGTTTCCCTTACTGAACAGAAGGCAGACTGGCTAAATAGTCTAAAGCACTGTACTGTCAAGAGACCTAGAAATAGAAGCACAAGGCTATTTCCCAAGCTTTCATTAAGAAGCCCTTGCATTAACGACAGCCCTCACTTCCCAAGACCAAGGCAGAGCAATTTCTTTTGGAGAGAAGAGGAGAAATATCTGGCAGGTTTTACTCAAGAGCTCTTACCACTAAGGCATCTTATTCAGTCTACAGTTTTGTTTCCCCACCACACCAAGAGTGAGTCCCATTTACCACTGGAGTTCAAAGGGATGACTGTTGCTGACAGCAGACTATGGGTTTAAAGAACATTCCTGTTTGTGACAAATGTTAAACTAATTTACCATATAGTTTCTAGAGTACAATTTGCTAATTTGTCTCCCTCTGTACCGAGAGAAACAATACCCCAAAAAGGACCTTTTATAACTTCTAGTACCTCAGAGTAGTAAGAAAAGCCTTCAGTATAGAACTACAGAGCAGGGAAACTGACTCTGCACCCCCACCGAACTAATCAAGTGATCGTTTAGATCTGTGCCCTGTGTTGTCTTCAGACCAATGTCCACTGTGGTTTTATATTTGCTTATTTAAGAATACAGGTTAACTGGCTGAATTTAACACCAAAGAACTGGTAGGAAGATCAGTGTCTGCTATTTCTGTCATTAGATTAAGGCACTATCTAGGCTTACAGAATTATGCAGAACCAAAACCAATGCTTTACTCCTAACAAATTAACAAGCATTCAAAAGCATATAGAGTGAGATACTTCATTGTTTCTGTTTTGGAGAATGAAGAGGAGACTAGGCAGAAGAAAGCATGACAAGACAGACTTTAGCTATAAAGTTTACTAGACAACACATATAAGTGCATATATATATATATATATATATATA